CTCTGGCCATGCCACTGTTGGCTAGTGCAGAGTTTTGGAGCCATGGCAGCACCATACATACTTTAACATCATTTTCTCTTCTTCCTATTGCTTTCTCTGTCTCTGCAACCTGCTGTTTCTTTTGCATGCCAAACCTTTGGGCTGCTCCTTCATCCCGGGCTCCCCATTTCCCCCTCTGCTTGGATCCCAACTCCTCTCCAGCTGCTGTGATCAAGAGGATCCCACTTACTTTGCCATCTGGGGTGACAACAAGGCCTTCAACGAAGTGATCATCTCCCCAGCCATGCTGCACGAACATCTCCCCTATGTGGTCATGGAAGGGCTCAACAAGGTAACAGAGGTTTGAGACCAAGGGGCACTTTGGTGTCCTGATAAAGCCAGTACCTTGTCACAGGGCTTTTATGTCCCCAGGAGATGTGGTGCTGGGCCTGGAGAGCTGCTTAGATACACAAGGTCTTGTCTTTTGGAGGGAGGGAGGAGAGAAGATTGTTCTTCATGTCAGTCACAGGCTGTTAGAGTTGAACTTTTGGAGGTCTGGAAATGAAATATAACATCCCAGGGTCCCAGATTAGGTCTTCCTTCCTAATTTCATGTCATAATAATGTGAGGTTGGGTGTTGTTTGGTTCCCTCCCTGAGAAGTTTTCCATTGCAGACACAATTTCACCATTCAGGTGAAATCCAAGCAGCCCCAAGTCCTCCACACTGCAGCTCCAGATCCCTGTTAGCCTGAGGGGTGGTTGAGCTGCAGGGGGGTTGGACCAGATGACCTGTAAAGGTCCCTTCCAACCCAAAACACTCTTTGATTCTATGATGATGTGCAGTGGGGGTAGAACAGGTCTCTGCCACTTAGCTCCAGCTCCAGCCATGCAGCTCTACCAAACCTCCTCTGCCTTATTGGTCTGGAGGCTGCTCTTCCCCAGCACTGGATTCCCAGCAGGGCATCCTGACAGGACAGAATATGTCAAAACTCATGGATCTAATCCTTCATCTCAAGATTTGCCCCATGCTTGCAGGAGACATTGGTGAGAGAGGCCAATCCAGCCCTTTGGAAGCCCTGAGCTGGGAAGAGCAAAGCTGCTCTCTTCATTCCAGCATCCCTGCTCCTTTGCTTGCCTCAAACAGGTCTTGGAGAACTACAACAAGGGGAAAACAGCTTTACTTTCTGCAGCCAAAGTGATGGTGAGCCCTACAGAAGTGGATCTCACCCCAGAGTTGATCTTCCAGAGTCAACCCTTGCCCAGTGGGCCCTCGGTGCAGCTGGGGACTGGAGCTGTGACAGCAGACAGAAGGAACAGCAGCACCAAGTAAGGAGGGAGCTCTTTGGAGGGTTCCTGGCTCTGGGGGTGGCTCCTCTTTCTCTTGGGGCATCGTGGTCAACGTTTGGGGGAAGGACAGACCCAAGGGCTGCCTTTGGAGGACTTGGAAGTTCAGTGGATCTCGTGTCACGTGGTGGTGGTGGTGGCAAAATCCTTTGTGTTGCTCAAGAATCTGGGAGTCAGGAGAACCTCAGAGTTGAGGGTAAGGAAGAAACTTCCTTTTCTCCTTATCCTGGAGTTTCTTCTGAAGCTGTAAAGGCAAAGCTTGCAGCCAAATTTCTTTTGTCTTGTGTGCTGCATGTGCCCAAAGAGGGTCTATATGACTGTCTTGACTGAGTGCTGCCATCAGTGGTGGAGGAACATCAAGAAAGTCCCCAAAAGAGTGGTTTGAAGAAGAGCTTGTTCTTTGTGGTCTACCCAAATAGCTTCCTCCAGGAAAGGGGGGGGCAGGGAGATTCCTTCCAGATTTGCTGATAACCTTTGAGGCGTTGCAGGACCACAGGCTTGCAAGAAACCAAAGGATTAAGTATCAAAATGGGAGCAAAGACTTCTTCCAAAGTTGGGACACATGAATTCCATCCCAGAAGGGTGTTTTAGAGGGCAAACTGGCAGACAAAACGGGGAAGGTGAGAGGAGGGGAGATGATTTGTGGGAAATGGGAGTTGTGAGTGGAAAGAAGACAGGGCTGTGGGTGGGAGAGGGATTTTTCTTTGCAAGGGAATCACTTCCATGGGAATTTCAGGTAGAGACCCAACAAGAAGCTCTGTGTGTGTGAGAAACAGGGTGAGGTGGTCTCTAAGTGATGGACAGATGAGTGTCCTTGAGGTCAGAGGAGTGAGATTTCAATTTAGAAGGAAGATCAGACAGCAAATAATGTGGAAATGGTGAAGCTCTTGTCACAGAGAGAGCGAATGCTCGGAGGCAGAGGAGGAGGAGAGCTTAGAAACAGAAGTGCAGCTGTGAACAGGGATCAGCCCACGTTTGGGAAGGCTGCAGTAAGGCTGAGAAGATGGACTAGGTGGAGCAGCAGGGAGAGGAGAGGTGGTTTCTGTCCTGTGTAGCCAGAGCAGACCCAAGGAGCTGCTTCTCCTCGAGGTGAGTCAAAGCCCAGGGGGAATTCTGAGCTAGGAGGGAGGGGGCAGAGGCTGCAGGGAGATGCTACAGCAGGAACAGTTGTAGGTTGGTTGTGTTTCATTCCAGTTAGAGGCACCTTGCTGTGCCACACTCCCCCTTTTTTTTGGGCTCTTGAAACCTCTTCTCAGATCACTAGTGATCAACTATTGGCCTGACTTCTAAACCTTTCCCTGAAGGTCGTGTCCTTTTGGCAGGGGCAACACTCCTCACCCAGGATCCTTTCCCAGATAAAAGTTCTTGTCTTCAGGGCTGCTTTGGGGGCTCCAGTTCAAAGCTGTGCACATTTCACTGGGAGAAAAACCCTGGTCCTGAGGGGAAAATGGTGCTTGAGAGGGAAGATGTTGAGTGGGGGGGAAAAGGGAGGAGAGCAAGGACTGGAGTTTGCAGGAGGAAGAAGCTGTGCCTGCTCTTTTCAGCTGGAAGGATGGAGAGACAAGAGGCTTCTTGCCGTTGTGGATGGCTCTGGTTAGACCAGAGCCCTCAGCGTGTGTGAGGAACTCTGTGGCCAAGATTTAGGGTCCTCTTGGTGTTCTCCTCAGCCTCACTGTTGTCCTTTTCTCCTCGCAGGAGCAAATCCCATTCTGAAATCAGCTTGGAGGGTTTCTACGAGACAAAACCTCTATCCCCTGTGCAGAAAGACCCCGTGGAGCTGCTTCTCTTGGACACCAAGGAGAGGCTGTCCGTGGAGCTGCAGGACAGAAGGGCTCCTCTGGCCACCATGGAGAGCCTCTCAGACAACGAGTCCCTCTACAGCTTCGACTCCAGGCGCTCCTCGGGCTTCAGGAGCATCCGGGGGTCCCCCAGCCTCCACGCTGTCATGGAGAAGGATGAGACCCACTGCTTTTACATCGACCCCGCCATCCCCGAGGAGAACCCCTCCCTCAGCTCCAGGACAGAGCTGCTGGCTGCAGACAGCCTCTCCAAGCACTCCCAAGAGACTCAAGCCCCCGAGAACCTCCTCAACAGCGGCGGCACCACCCCGAGGCGACGCTGCAGCGAGGAGGGGGCCAGCAGCGAAGGGGGGGGGGACAGGGTTTCTTTGCCCCCCAGGGAGGAGTTGAGCCTCCAAAACGGGAGGCTCAGCGACGTTCCCAGTCCCCAAGTGTTGGAATTTGCCGAGTTCATAGACAGCCTCTTTAATTTGGATAGCAAAAGCAGCTCCTTCCAGGACATCTACTGCATGATGGTGTCAGACAGCTCCAGTGACTTCGCCGAGATGCCCAAATCTGTCAGCGAACAGGAGATCCTCTTGAGGGCACAATATGAACCCAACTTAGTCCCAAAGCCCCCGAGGTTGTTTGCAGGCTCAACAGATCCTTCGTCGGGCATCTCTGTCTCCCCTTCTTTCCCCCTTAGTTCCTCTGGAGAACTCATGGACATCACCCCCACAGGAGTGAGCAGCCAGGAGTGCCTGGCCACTGACAAAATCCGGACTTCCACCCCCACTGGGCACGTTACCAGCCCTGCCAAGCAGGACGACCTCATGATTTCAGCCCTTTAGTGCCAGGGGAAAGGGGTGAGGCTCTGAGAGCCCATCCCGGGGGATGAAACTTGGAGGAGGGTGGTCACTGGGTGGTTGGGATCAGCTGGAAACAGGTTCCTTCAGGGGTGGCAGTGGTGGCACGCCGGCCTCTGGGGGCTGGGATGTGCTCCAGCCCCACGCTGGCAGAAGGGGGGTGGTGGCACTAAGAGGATCTGAGTCGCCCCAGGTAGCTGGAGTTCCCTACCTCAGCCTGGCACATCTCATTTCAGAGGCAGATTCCTCACCCTGGGGCAACTGCTGAGTGTGGCAGCGAGGGGCCCTGCTTCAGGGAACCCTCTGGGGAGCAGGGGGGGCTTCTCTGGAGCTCTAGGATTAGACAGGAGGAAGAAGAAGGGGGGGGCCAGGCCAGGTCACCCCCTCGGTACCACACCAGTGGGTCTGGAAGTGAGAGGGTTGAGACTTTGGGCCTTGTTGCACTACCACGTCGGGTCTGGCCCAAGATCCAACTCCTCTCCCTTCCACAGGGATCCCCTTTTGGAGGACACTTCTGGTTCAAAGCCATGGGGTCAGTTCTTCTCTGTTGGGTGCCCCCCAGGCTGCTTCCCAGAGGGAAGGACGTTGTTCTGAAGACCCAAAGCCCTCCACCACGGCCCTCCTTGGCCAGAAAGAGTTCTCCTAGGATGTCATCAGCTTCATTTCTCAGTTTCCCTGGACTTCTCTGAGCTGGCGACGTTCCTGTGGGACTTGATGGGATTCTCCTCTCAGGAGCTGCACGGATGGATCAACTTAAAAATGGAACAGGCTTCTCAACACCCAAAACTACTTGCCCGGGTCCCTGCAGAGCCTGGGAGCCTCTCCTGGATTCTTCTGGGTCCTCACCGTGGTCAGAGATCAGGGCCAGGCTCTGTCACTTGGGAGTTCAGGGAAAAGAGGAACTTTTACTGAAGTATTGAAATCTCTTGTATGTTTACAGAGCTGCTAAGCTTTTTGGAAGGTATTTATTGAGCAAACAGGGAGGCTTTCCTTAAGGCAAAGAAAAAAAAGCACCTTCATTCTCTCCTTCCTCTGCTCTTCCCCTGGGGGGGCTGAGGGGGGAGAGGATGGGCAGCTACGGTTGCTTAAGTTAGAGGAAGGTCTGGGGGAGCTGCCTGCCCCCCTCACCCACTTTTCTCACCCCATTGCACACCACAGCCTAGCAGAGCTTCACCCAGTTGCTGGTGGACCTAGCAGAGCCTGGAGGAACCTGCTGGAGAGACCCATCTAGGCAGGGACTTGCCAAGGATGGAAGTTGGGATGTGAAACGTGCTGGGAGCTGTGGGGAGGCCTTTCCTTGGCAAAGCACCTTCACAGCAAAGCTCAGCAGGGTCAGCAATAGGTCTCCCTGGAGAAGAAATTCCTATTTTTACTTCCTGATCCTCCCAGAGATTTTTTTTTATCCCCTTCCTTAGCTGGGGTGTTGCCACTGTGGGAACTTCAGGTGGAGAGGAGGGGGCTGGACTTTGTGTCCAAGTGCCCATCTCCCACTCGAGGGTTTCAACCAAGACAGGGTGGTCCCCTCCTCCTTCCAAACCTTCAGAAGGGGGTTGGGATTTCAGGTTTCAGAAGGGGTTTTGGTAAATGGGCAGGAAAATATTGTCCCCTGTGGTTTAAGTTCCAAAGGTGACCGTTTCTGTTTTGTCTTGAGTAGGAAAGATGAAGCCCCTCTGAACTCCAAAGAGATTTGTGACAGAAAAATGCTTTTCTTTGGATCAAAAAGTTGTTAGTTTTTTTTCTGTAGGTCCTTCAGAGACAAGTTGTTCCCCTCAAGGTTCAGGAGCTCCCACAGGACACATCCCCCACTAGCACAGACCCCAGGGTGAGGCCAAATTGCTGCACACACCCCCCAGGAACCACTGAGATGGTGATGTCCAAAAATACACCCAATAAACAGGGTCCTGTTGAGGGGGGGAAGGGGAACTGAGGCTGGCAGAGCAGGGAAGAGGAGCTGGCTCTGCCTCCCCATCCCTGGCAGGAGGTGGGTGGGGAGAACCCTTAGCACTTAGGCAGAGCTTTATGTCTGCAAAGCACTTTACAAACCTCGAGGAGAGAATCATCTCTGGCCCAAGGGAGGTCTCAGGAGGTGGCTGGTTCTGAGACAAGGTGCAACTACTGGTTGTCCTACCCGAGGATGGTGGGGAGATGAGCTGGGGGTGAGGAACTTGGATTTATTTCCCCTCTTGAGACAAAAAAACCCCACACTGTTCCCTTAGTGACCTGATGGTGTTTAGCAGGTCACAATATTGCACTAAGAAGTCACTTCTGACCTGGGTGTTCCCTCCACTACGTCCTGGAAGAGGCAACTCTGGTGTGAGACTCTTCCCTTCTCTGTGTCCCAAGGGTGTGGGGTCACCTCACCCTGACCAGCTGGAGCAGGAGACAGCCTGGCATGCTGCAGGGGGGTTTTTTTGGGGCTTTTTTTTGTGCTCTGTGATTATTTGGCTGCTTCTGACAAGCCTGGCAATAGCTTGTGACCTGGGCTTGCCAGAGGTGGAGGCAGAGAAGGTGCAACAAGAGCCCTTTCAGTTTGAGGTTCTTCCTGCATCACATTGTGGGTAACTCCTGCCAAACAGATCTGTTGCCAGGTTTCACAAAGTAAATCCATGTTCTCTGCATTATTTCTGCTTTAAATGTCTCTCTGGGTCTTGATTCTCATCACTCCTTTGCTGTAAGAGCATGAAGAGAGGAGAAGTTGGAGGAAGAGCAGGTCTGGAAGGTCACAAGAGATGCTGAGCCTGTAGCTACCTCCTTCCCTGGTCCCACACACTCTTGCCTCAGTCTCTGCCCTCCTTCCACTTGGACATCTTTGGAAGCAAGAAGCATCTCCAGGTTTCTTCATCTCTTGGCTTCTGGTTCCTATTTTTAAGCTTTGTGCCTTCTGACCTTTAGATGTTCTCTTGATGTTTCAACAGGATCTTCCAGCTCCTGACCCCTCAGAGCCCAGCCAAGCAGCCAACACTTCCCCCATTTCAATGCTGTCCTTAAAATCCCCTCTGAGAGCTTCTCCTTGGTGGTGGAGAGGAGCTGAGGCTCCTGGAGAGCAGAGAGGTGCTTCTGTCCACCATGAAATTAAAGCCCAGCGGGTGAAGCCCTGGAGAGGGGCTGCAGCTCTGCCAGAGCCCAGCCAGGCTCTTTGCCCCCCAAACCACCCCCTGGGGCAGCAGATTTCAGCTTGCTGTTGGGTGTTGGATCAGGATCTTCTCAGCAGACTGGTGGAAGGTAATCCTGAAGCCCCAAAGCATCCCAGGGGCAACGTGGGAAGCTCTTCACTCAATGTGTGTTGACCTCAATCCAACCACTTCATCAGGAGCAGCCTCTGACCCTGCTGCAAACAGGGTCCTGTTGAGCTTGGTACCCCTGGCTGGTCTTTGCACCCCTGGCTGGTCTTTGCACCCCTAAGCTGCTCTCCAGCCCTTTTGGGTGCTTACAGCAGTGTCAAGAGCACAGGCAGGATCCTGCTGTGCTGAGGAGGTCCAAGAGTTGACTGGAAAGAAAACCCTTCTCCATTTCCACCCATTTTCTCTTCAAACTTCCACCTTCCCTCTTTGCTGGGCTCCCTGTTCCTGTCACCTCACTAGAAGCCACCTTGTTTCTCGTGCTCAGGATGCTGCTGTCTCAATCCACACCCTTGGTAGCACCAGTTAAAGGTGGGAAAGAAATTCCCTGTCACCTCATGATGTCCCCAAATGGATGAACTGGGATTCCTTGGTGCACTTGAGCTGCTGCCTGTGGAAAGGGCAAAGTGCTGTCAACACTCTGAAGTTCTTCAGCTATCTCAAACTTGTGCTCACCTGGTCTGTGGTCAATATTTTCAGTGTTCATTCCTCATTTCTGCAACTTTTAGGAACTTTATGGAAGTTGTAGGAGATATTTTGCTCTCTAAAGGACCCAGATGGCAAAAGCTGCTTGTTGGCACTTGTTGCCATGTCCTGTCTCTGCCAAAACTGCCCAGGGCTGAGCTCTCTGAAGCTCAGCAACCCCCATGAACGTGGCATCACTTTCTCCAGTACCACCTCTGACAACATTCCCCTCGGTTGGGTTCCACTCTCTGTAATCTGGACCTAATTAAGAGGGGTTTAAAACCTCCCCTTGGTATCCGAAGGGGTTTTGTTTCTTTAGGAGGTGTCTCTGATTTGGTTTACTGCTCTTTTTTTTTGCCCCAGGCCCAAACTTTTCCATATTTCTGGTCCTTTTGACTTCCCACTCTTAGATTCATTTCAATCCTTCCTGGCTCCTGCTTTTAGGGAGGGTGCTGAGGGCTGCACACACTCAGGAGCATCCTCTTGATTTGTAAAATGGCCTCTTTTAATATATTCCTTATCCATTTAGATGTTTTCTCAGCTTTTTTTTTTAGCTCTGCCTGCAAGCAGAGACCAATATTGTCACTGAATCCCCCACGCAGCTCCTCGGGTTAATTTACTAATTGGGGCGTATGAATAATCAGCATTATCCCTTGGCAACAGGGCTTTAGTTGGGGTTAATCGTTGCTGAAATGTGTGTGCTGCTGGGTTTAGAGTTTGGCTTTTGTCATTCTAGCCCTCCAGGGAAGACTGGGAGAAGGAGCATCAGTTCCAGCTAGCCCAAAACACAGACACTTTGCCCTTTGCTGTTGTCTCAGCCCCCTGATACTTGCCCTGTTGCTAGAACAGGCTTTTTGGGGGGCAAAACAGGGTGTCTATTACCTATGCAAAACATATTTGGGTCCCTTTACATGTTTTACAACCCCAACGACTGGGTTTGTCCACCTAGTGAGACACAGAGTGTCTTAATTTAGCAGCTCCTCCTTGTTTCTGCCACGTGCAGCCTAAATCCTGACCCAAGGATGATGCTGGAGGACGTTCCAGCCTCCCCTTGTTGTCCCCTCCTCTCTCTGTAGCATCACCTTTGCTCCTTTCTGCTCAGCCAACTGCAGCCTGCTCTGGTTTTCGCTGACAATCCTTCCACACTGTCTCTTGTTTGTCATCCACCCCCCCTAAAGCTGG